GACTAAGTCCCTTGCACTGTGGCCACTTCTGGCCTATTGTACAAGCCCCAGATGATAGGTGAGGGTGACTGTGGAGCAATTGGTGGAATGAAGATTGGCAAGGGGAACTGAAGTACTCGGAGAACACATGCCCCAGCACCACTTTGTGCACCACAGATCCCACTTGACCAGACCCGGGATCAAACCCAGGCTGCAGTGGTGGAAAGCCAGCGACTAACCGCTTGAGCTACGGCGCGGCCAATATTTTAACTTAAGAACTAGTGCAGTGTGGCAGTTTCGAAAAGTGAACAGTTTGCCTGAGAATGGCCAAGTAAGGCCGAAACATGTAGCAGTTGATTAACATTAATGTGAATTAATGTGAATAACATTAAGTTATTTAAATTAAGGAGAAATTGTGAACAGAGTTGCATTACAGATGGAAGTGAATGTGTAGAGCAATACATCAATGCAACAGCATCCGGGAATACAATATTATAAGATGTTTAAAGCTTTTATTCACCCTGTTACTTGCTGTCACTATGATTAGGTGTCATTTTTCATGTACTGCAGTTTCTATCTTGTATTATGGCAAGGGCATCAGTAGTGATTTTTTTTAATGTTCCAACAATGCAACTAGTCTGGGACTAACGAGAATTCTTATTCTCACTTAAACTACTACTACTAGAACTAAACTCTGAGACTATGCCCACCGGTGTGTCCCAGCATCTGGTGTCATGAGCACATTGTTGTCACACTCATATCTCTGTTTATACTAATGCGCACTTGCACTGCACTAGTTCAAACCGCTTGAGTCTCTTGAGCTTTCTCACTGTCCTCTTATCAAGAAACTGTATTGCTTCCACGTTGGTGTGTTGAAGCTGATCTTTGTGCTTCTTAGCTATCCTTTTAATTTTGGCAGTGATCATCCTAATGCCAATATCCCTATGGATGTCACTATTATGGGCATACCAAGGGGCATTTACTATTCCCCTCAGCACTTTGTTCTGAAATCTCTGTATTCTTTGAATGCTACTCTTACTGGCACAACCCAACAGCTGTATTCCATAAGTCCGGACCGGTTTTATGACCTGGCTGTATACTAGTATTTTGTTTTATATTGATAGCTGGGACATCCTACCCAAGAGCCACTCCGTTTTATTCTAAATAGCCTTCCTGAAATGTAGTACTATAATATTTGACAATATTGCTTTGGCAGCAACTTGTGTAGCTTGGTCATCAGTAGTGATGAGCAATTTTTGTATGTATTTGTGCAGCATGTTTTTTATTTGTACTTGAACATGGAGATCTGTTTCACTTATTACATGAGGACCTACATGGTAGCATAGTTGGTTGAGACACTGCTACAAACGCAAAGGTCATAGGTTCCTTTCAGCCGCAGTATGGTCCTGGAGTTGACTCAGCCTCCAACACAAATGAGTACCAGGAATATTCCTGGGGGGTAAAGGGCAGCCGGCATGGGAGGCTGACAGCCTTACTGCCATCTCTGAGCCGGTGGTCTAGAAAATGTGGGAACCTCGACTTCTCACAACCCTGTGGGCCTCCACGGCCTGTTACAGGGATACCTTTACCTTTTTTTTTTTTTTTAACATGGGGACCTAACTACAATGATATCAGAAAGCTCTTAATGAAATGCATGCACAATGCATATGTAATAGAAGATATTAATGTACATCACATATTGCCACCCATGTTTAATTGTGCTGGCAATATGTGTACATTTTTAAGAAACTGAATCATATTCCTCTGATAGAATCAGAGCAAAAGTTGTTAACCCATTAGAAAATGTTACTGTCTGCTTACTGCATGCCAGAGAGTGATTTATTTGCTCATATAAATATGATTGTACTTGATATATGTATGTATGTATGTATGTATATATATAAACACGAAGACACACACATGCATCCATATATTTGGAGCCTACCCAGCTAACATGGGGAGTGTAATTATAGGTCAGCATGATAAAAATGTATATATGTAAAATGTGTGAGATTTAAGATTATTATTAAAGCAAAATATTGCTTTTGAATAAGATTCCAAACTATTTTAGTGTAAAAGAATAATGTTTCCCAAACACTTTTTTTCCAGAACTGTTGTAACTTCAAAGCATATTGACAGAACCCTAAGGAGATAGTAAATACTTAGACAGAGCTATTTCTGTATGGCACACAGGAGATAAAAATAAAGCAAGTGTCTGTAGAATACTGGACATTACTGAGGAGAGTATGTGTCATTTTCTTGTTGCAAATTTATAGAATAGTGGAAGTGATGTCAGCAGAATTTTCTTGTTACTTTGATGACCAATATTCCAGTAATTTAATTGTATATCAGTCTGTCATGAATATTAATTCCTACAGTAACAGTGTGGCAAACGGTTTGGTTTGACTGTTTAGCATTCTGGAATCAAATTGCCTGAGAACTGAATTGTATGAATGGAAATCCACTGACTGACTGCTTCAGTCATCATACATAATGCTGAACAGACCCCAGTTATCTCGCACAGTAATAGCATTTTTGTGTTGGTGATAGTGGAGAAGTATTGCACTCTCAATAAATGTCATCATAAGGAGGAACTGTGTTTAAGAATGTAGCTCACAACCATTCAAATGCTAGTTAATGACACAAACACATTCTTCTGAACAAATAAAAATAGTGATTCACAATCAGAGGAAAGTATTCTTCCTTCTCATAGTCTTGGACCATGACCTCAGCTCAGAATGTTTATATCTGTAATTTTGACAGAAAATTGCTTTCAGTGGTTTTGTTCATTCAAAACCCACCATTACAGAATTTTCTGTGGGAAACAGTTTGGGAACCACTACTAGAGAATAATGGCTGACAAAGTAATACTGTATTGATTTTATCTTATTATACATATTTGTGTTATCTGTGACTTTTTAGTTGACCCTGGTTCAGTTTCTTACCAGTATCCTGAGACAATAAAGAGATGATGACTCTTTGTGTGCATACGTGTGCGTATGTTGCCTTTGTTACATTAGATGTTCCTCAGTTTAAAGTTTTCCCGATTTAGTATTTAGCTTCAGTGATCCCAAGTAGCGTCAGTGTAAAATTACCTCCACTTAAGATTTTCTTAGTTTATATTTCAAATCTGCTATTCCCAAAGTAGCCTCAAATGGGGAGTTTACTGTATCTGTTTTGGACTGCCATAGTATAATATGTAAATATCCATGTATATTGTATGATATAGATTATAATTTTTTTTTTCCAGAAACAGTGGGAGGTACTGTAGTTGGTCAGATGACTTGGTGGAATATGCTAATTGGGCTAATTTTGTGTAGTATGTCAGTTATATGCATGAAAAAGGCAGTAACAGAAAAATTATCTTTTTAAAGGTACAGAAAGCTGTGGAGAAACAGGACTGAATGATGATGAAAATGCTTTTATTCACCAACTACTACTAGTCTAATTTTTCACTATGATTGTATGTTATGATTCATCATAGAAGAACCTGATTAGTAACTTAATTTATTTTGTGTCACTTGATTTGCATCCTCAATCATGTGAATTTTGGTCACCATGATAACATAATTTATGAAAATACATGCAGAAATTACCTCTCTTGATTTTAAACGTGACCACATTCTTGAATCTTTATTTCATACAGTATGTGTGCTTCGCAGTACTCTTTGATTCCCAGTGAGGTCATTTGATTTTTCAATTGACATAATCATTCCAGCTGCACTATGTCCCTGGGGTCAACTCAACCTCTAACAAAAATGAGTACCAGGAATCTTTCTGGGGGTAAAGGGCTGCCGGCACATACATTTTTCTTTTCCGAATTACACATACTCTGAAAGAAAAATATAAGGGAAAAGGAGTATGAATGTATTCAATGCGTGTAAAATAGCTTAGTTTTCATTCTCAAAATGGCAACATCAGTTTGCAGAATATGCATTTTAATTTGGAGGGAGGAGGGGGGTCTATACAGCGGGGTTGCCAGTGCAAAGTTTTTCTCTTAAGAACAATTGTTGTGTTGGTTGCTCCTTTCCTTCTCTGTCAGCTGCAGGAATTGAGGTACTGTGGCAGAATGAATGGTGCAGATCCACTTCTTTATGCCTTACATACCTGTCATAACTAAC